GTTGGTGAATGAACACACCACACACACACTCACCACCACACACTCGCATTAGTTCTTGAGACAGCTGTGAAGTGACTTCATAGCGCCAAAAAACTCAGTAGAGGGCATTCCACTGTAATAAATCTATAGGGGTGGGGGTGGTGGGGGGGTTTTAATCGCTCAGTACACACTCTCCACCACCCTCTCAACACTCGACTCCATCCCTCCCCCCACCACGCTCGTCCTCCGGAGCTGCCTCCCTCTCCCTCCTCCCCTCTCACGAGAGGCTCTAGTCACTAGATCCCTTCCTTCTCGCGTGAACTCGGCAATGATAAATGAGTCAATTATGATAGTGTGTGTTTGACTCGTGGCGATCCGCAGAGCGGTATGTTGTGCCGGGGCGACAGAGTAAGCAATTATACCTTGGTGCGGCCTGGAGGGTAGTTGCGGGTATTATCATATTCTAATTTTCTCTCAGTTGATAGATGATGGGGGGGGGGGAGCTTGTTGGTGGTACATTGGAGGTGGTGGTGGTGGGAGGGGGGGATGGTCGTTTGGCGGAAGAAAATTAGAATATGATTAATACCGCAACATTACCCCCAGCCGCAACAGGTAATAACGGCCTCATCCGCTCCCTCTCTGCAGCGCCACGCACACACACACATAATTGACTCATTTATCATTGCCAGTCAGTTGAGGAGAAGAGGGACGAGGGAGGAGAGGGAGAAGCACGGCGAGGAGTGGGAGAGAGAGGGCGGTGGAGGTGGTGTGAGAGTGTGGTACTGAGGATTAAAACCCCCCCCACCACCACCACCACCCCTATAGATTTTATTACAGTGGAATTGCCTCTCGGCAGAAGTCACTCACAGCTGGGCTCAAGACTAATGCGAGTGTGTGTGTGAGTGTGTGTGTGTGTTCATCACAACATACACTTGGGATGAGCTTGGTGTAGCAGAGCAAGGGCTAGACACAGGAACATGTGACACACACACACCGTGTTCCTGTGTGTTGCTGTGATTGACTGGATTACAACAACAAAAAAGTATAAATGTTCTTTAACCAATTTTTATTCTTTCTGATTTAAGTAGAGAAGAGCCTCTAAATCTCACATTTCAGAGTCTGGAAGGAGAGTTGAGCTCATAGGACTTGATTGCACACTGTCTGAAAAGGAGGGATTCCAACTGGACTGCAGGGTACCCAGCATGGGGGTAAAAGCAGAGGGTCATCCAACTCAAGAAGGTGCTGATTACCGTAAGGGTTTGTAATCGAGCACTATGAGCTCAACTCTTGGTATCGTCGACCCAAGCGAATGTTGTTTTTGTAACAACTTCAACAATTGGTTATCAAAATTGTGATACAAGTTTGAGTCAAAAGTTGATATCAATCTCCATCCTGCTCTCCACTAATTTCTCTTAACTCTCATCCATTTAATAAAGCCTCAAAACCGCACAAAAATACAAAAGGAACTTAATATATCTACTGATTTTATCCATTTGTCGACTTGTGATTGTGCGCAGAGCTGAAATAATAACAACCTATGGCTCATGGATGCATGGTTTCTTACATTATACAATAGAACCAGGTGACCGCCTTTCTAGAGTTTAAGGTCTTTGAAAATAACTGTTTGTGGTCTGAATGTTGACAGCATTCACAAAACCACAACGGTGCTTCACATTTAGTTTAGCAAATGAGAAGCCGCCAGCCACGCCATTAAATACCACTAAAGAGAAAGCGGGGTAAAAATCAATGTCTTTATAAAATCAGTCCTCTGTTTTTTTGGCAAGGCAAAATAGCAACACACACACACACACACACACACACACAACACACAACACACACACACACACACACACACACACACACACAGAGTTTGCAGGCACGTGCTTATAGGAAAGACCCCAAGGTCGCACTCGGAAAGAAATAACCATTCCCCACAAAATGGACTTCAAGGAATGAAATTACTGTGTGTGTGTGTGTGTGTGTGTGTGTGTCATTATGTGTCTGAAGGAGCATAACATAGGTGGGCGGGAGAAAATGAGGGAGAAAGGGGAGGAGAGCGGCGAGCAGGAAGTGGGTATTTTATGTCGAAATGATTGCCTGTAATAATTAGTCTTTGGCTCAGCACCATTTACTGAGAGAGGGAGGGAAGGACGGTTTGGAGGATGGGGTGAAAGACAGCAACGCAGAGAAAAACAAGATTGAGTGAGCGGAAAAAAGAAGATACGACTATCTGTGTGTGTGCGTGTGCGTGTGCGTGTGCGTGTGCGTGTGTCACGGTGGGATCGTTTCCTCCAATCTTTCACTGGCGGTGACAGGAGATAAGATGATCAGCCGAATGCGCTACAAATCTGCAGCCTGCCAGCCTTCAGACAGCTCTGTCAGTGCTGCACTGCAACTGAACACACACACACCACTTGGAGCATGGAAGCGTGTGTGTGTGCTTATACACACTAAACCAATACGTTAATACTGCAGGCACGCAGAAACAAAATGCGCACGCGCACACACAGAAACAAAATGCGCACGCGCACACACAGAAACAAAATGCACACACACACACACACACACACACACACACACACCTAATTAAGTTCCTGCACTAGAAATGTGCCGACTGCCTTTTTCTGGTCTCCCATGTTTGAAACAGGCTGCTGGGTAAAGTAGAAATGTCAACTCCTTCCTCTCGAGTGTGCGTTTATTAACAATGCTTTTACTCTCTATTCCCTCATTGATTATTTTACTTAAGGATTTTTTTGTTTTCACAGAAATAGAATTCAAGAGGAAATTGGTTTCGAGTGTGAGGCCTGCAGAAATGATTGCAGCTGATAAAACATAATATAATGACTTAATATAATATTAAGTATTCTGGGGCTGCAGAGAAGTTCCAGTATTCTACAGATCTAAGTAAAAAAGACAAATCAAACGAAGTTCATTAAAAATATCGGGATCGGGGTTTCAGATACGATCGTTCAAATCTTTATACTTTCTAAATTGTGCAACTCTACTTGGAGCCCGTCTTTATCGCGGCAAATAAGCTTCATAGCTGAGACAAACCAAAGTTAAATACAGACCTATAAGTTGGTAAAGAACACAGACACACGCACACAGCAGCTGCACCGGTGCCTTAACAGTGTCAGGAGCATTTAGCCCGGCAGCCTCCAGGTATGCGACTGTTCACTTTACATCACATTAACTATTGATCAGCCTCTCCTCAGCTCCAGTGGAAAAACCTTCAGCTGCTCTCCCCGTCTCTACTCTCTGCAAACACACACAAACAAACAACAGGGACCCACCCAACTCGCCTGTGTGCTCTTTCATCTCTCAAGGGTGTGTACTAGAGCAAATACACACCTCCACACACACACCTACAGACACACAAAACAAAGCTGGGATCTGGTGGTACAATAGCAGACCAACCGAACCCCTCTCTGCTGCCAAACTCACAGTAAAGGCTGCTCTTTGATACATTTCTGACACACACAAACACTGAATTAAAACGGGGAGAGGTTTTAGCACACAAACCAACCGACAAAATAAAATGCAACACTAACACAAACGGCGAACCCTCAGCGCTCCCTTAAGCAAATATAATTTCATAGTTTGGTGATTGACTGATAGACAGGCAGTTAAACACAGCACATACCTGTTTGGTTTAATGATATGTACACACACTCTTTCTGGAAACATATCATCTGAAGATGTATTTAATTCAGACCAATTTGACTTGGTTTGGTAATTTGGTACATTCAGACACAGCTAAGCTCTAGTTAACAGGTCTTCTCATTAGGATTGTTGATGTTGAAAGAGTTAATGCCTTGTCTACAAAGATAATTGAATAATTGTAAAGCTGATAGAAAACAGTCAGAAATGCTCTTCACAGCTTGCTAATGTTCACAGTGATGTTTTAATTATGGCTGCAACTAACAATCATGTTTATTATAGATAAATCTGCCAATTATTTTCTTGAGTAATCGTTATTGGGTGTTTACATTTCAGAAATGAGTCAAAGTTTTCCATGCCAAGTCCAACGTGATGTTCTAAAGGTCTTGTTTTCTCAGTTCAAAATTAAAAAGCAAATCAGTTTAATATGATAAAAAGTAGAGAGCTAAAAGCTGCATTTAGTTAATTGATGCATGAAGGATTACTTTAAATTTGACCAATTAATGACAAACTATTAACGTTTATTTTTTGTCAAGTGATTTTTCTACTTGCTGACATAGGATTTCAGGAGACCTGGAGAGATACATC